CCGTCGTGTGAGTTCCTTAAGTTAAAGTTTCGGAAAGCGATAATAGTAAATCGAAGGCCAACCAAACTTTTCTTTGGCTTTCGACCTTCCCGCAAGTAATCAAGCCAACAAGCACTATACGAAAGCGAAACACAACAGGCCCGTTTCCCGAATTTATCAGAACAGGAGCTGGAGCAAATTTTAGCTGAAAGACATTCAGCAAGAACTAAGAAGACTACAAATTGGATTGTGGCGACTTTTAAAGGTAAACGTCTCTGTTGATGACGTTTTTTTTGGTTACATTTGTAATTACTACCGAAAACCATTTAATTACAAAATCAACAAAACAATCGGGGACGCCAACATTTTCGGGCAACTTTCATTTCAAAAACATTACAAAAACGTCATTCAGCGCCCAAATTGTTTTCGCATGTTATAAAAGAATTGTTTCGTGCTATTAGCCGTGCGTCTATCGAGTTATGGATGCACTTGGGAAGTTTGGAGAGCACTCAAGAAGCTAGGGTTGCTCTCGGCTGCGCCTCGAGCAACTCTTGCGCTTCTCTCTCGTGCTCTCCAAACTCCCCGCGTGCATCCATAACTCGATAGACGCACGCTAAGCATGAAAAAATTCTTAAATTGCTAGCTAGTTATTCCCTGAATTTTTTCTGATCGGTTGCCACAATGTACGTCAATTACGGGAGCAGTCAAGAAGTAAGTTTTCTGTTGGTTACCAGGTTTTGTTAACGATAATTTTCTGTTTTGTTCGCATACTTTTAATGTCGAGTGCCGACGTAGATCTTTTTTAATTTTGTAGGAAAATTCATTCCTGACTCATGAATTCCGCGCGAAAACCGACAACGCACGGATCGCGAAGCGATAAGTACGATATCGGTTTTGGCTCTCTAAAAGGCGACAATGGTTTTGAAAAACATTTTAAAATGACATTAAAGAAATCTTTTTTGCACTTGTGGTGTTACAATTTGACGATAGTTGTTATGTATATATATGTACGAAACATAGCCTTGTTTTAAATCGATCGTTAGCAATTAAGAATGAGAGATTTTAGTACATTAGGGCCTGTTTGCACTACGCAAAATTTTGTTTGTTTTGCAACACATCTTTCCACGCGAAAATATTTTCAGTGCGAACGATTTTTTTGACCCACCAAAATTTTCGCAAGTGCTACATTACTTCAAAGATGCTGTCAACTAGCTTTGGAGGCCTACCATTTTTTGTCAATATATTGTTCCTTGAGAGATACCCTTCAACTGGTCATCTTATTGCGTAATTGAACGTAGCGTTAGTAAGTTGTGGAATGACTCTCTCCCCATTCTCAAGGAGGCATTAGGGAAGTTACGATTTCAAACCAGGATTCTACAGGTCGACCGCGACGTCGACGTTTGTTGAGCAGCTGAGTTAAAGTACTCACTAGTACTCACCTGGAGCCAAGAGAGGTTTGTTACGCGCATGTCTGTTTCCGGTGCCCAACATCATAGTCCGAAGCCGTATAAATATGGGATTCAGTCTTTAGAACCTGGCCCCGGAGAGCCCGAGTCACTTCAGTTCATACTCTAAAACTAAAGTTAAGTACAAAAGTATTTTTAAAATACATGAAGAATGTGGAAGAAAACAAAGGACAAGTACCCTAGACCGGAACTGCACACGCGG